GAGAATCTGAAAGCAGTGTCATGAAATTCCTAGAGAAAAGCAGTAACACTGCTGGGCCCACTGGAGTCAATCTATTTGTATCAGTTTCTCCAGCTGGTAATGTTGAAAGAGAAGAGGCAAAGTGGTATTTGAGCTCAACCAGGAATGGGGTTCAGGCAAGTGAGAACAGAGGAAAGAACAATATTGTTGAAGGTTTTTACAGGAGAATGACTACAACATCAGAGCAAGATGAAACACAGAGAGGGGTGGTTTTAGTTATCTGCTGCTGCCCAGTCAGTCATTTCAAAAGTTTAGCTTAAAAAAAATATTTTACAGGCTGGAGATTTAGCTCAGTGGTGTTGCTGCCTGCCTCTCAAGCGCAAGGTCCCGAGTTTGATCCCCGGTAGGCCACCCCCCCAAAATTTTTACTTTGCTCATAATTTTGTCTTTAAGGGATTTGAAGAGCTCAGCTATGTGTTTCTGCTGCATTTGGTGTCATCGAGAGCAGCTGAGTCCTTTTTCAAATACTTTATTGAGATTATCACATACTATAAAATTTATCATTTAAAGGTATACAATTCAGCAATTTAAAAATATATTCACAAATAGGAAGAAAAGGGGCAAAGGGGAAGGAAGTGGGAGGGATAGGGGAAAGGATAGAAGGGAATGGGATTAATAGGAGAAAATGGAAAAACAGGAACAAAATCTTTGTAAATAGGGAGGAATGGAGGGGTTGAAGAGAGGGCTGGGCAAGGGTGAAAAATAAGAACCAAGAGAGATTATATAAAGGTGCAAATTTCCAATGATGAATGTCATTATATTGTATACCTAAAATGTACCAATGATTAGAATGAATAATTGATAATGCAAAATAGGAAGAAAAGGTCTAAAGGGGTAGGGGTAGTGGGAGGGGCAGGGGAAAGGAAAAATGCTGAGAAATGGAAAAAATGGAAATAAAGTCTTTGTAAATAGGGAAGGGAGGGCTAGGAATGGGGAAAAAATAAGAACCAAGATGCATTATGTAAGGGTACAATTCCCAATGAGAAATGTAATTGTGTTGTATACCTAAAATGTACCAATAAAAGAATTTAACAACAAACAAACAAAAATATTCACAGAGTTGTGCAGCCATCACTGCTTACTGCCAGAACATTTTCTTCAGCTTCAAAGCAGCACCATACTCATCAATCACTTCTCATCTTCCTCTTACCCCAGACTTGGCAACTACTTTTGTTTCTAATGAATTTGGCTGTTTTGAGCTTTTATATAAATGAAGTATGTGGCCTTTCACATCTAGGTTCTTTCATGATGTTTTCCAGATTCATCCTTGTTAAAGTATGAATTTATTTGGAGGGCCAAATACATACTTCATTGTATGGATGTCATACTGTTTACTGATTCATCAGTTGATGGGCACTTGGGTTATTTCATCTTTTGGATACTAAGAATAATCCTGCTATAAAATTTGTGTACAAGCTTTTGTGCAGACACAAGTTTGCATTTCTCTAGGGTGTATTACCTAGGGGTGGAGTTGCTGGGTCATATGGCAACTCTGTATTTAATTATTTGAGCAAGCAGCTGGGTCTTGAGGATTTCTTCCTAACACAGTGTCTTTACTCATGTCTGATGTCTTTCTTTAGAACCTCTACATATAACATGGGATTTTTCAGTATGATTTCCAGGTAATCACAGAACTTGACAGTAAGTATTCCAAAGAGGAAGTGGAAACTTCCAGGTCACTTAAGGGCCAAGTTTGGAATTGGCAGTCACTTTATATTCTCCAGGTCAAATCACTTATGAAGCCATGCGGGAACAGAAATAACTCCACCTCTTAATAAAGGTGCAAGGTCACACAACATATAGAACAGCATATACATAAATTCTTTCAAAAAAATTTACAATCTAGTCAGAGGTAATATAGATAACATTATAGAAAATGTAACAGATGGTGCTATAGTGCTATAGAAGTACTGCAGGGCACAGAGGAAACAATTTTGACTAGAAAATCAGGATAATATTCTACCAGTATTTAAGTATAATTCTGACAGACTGGTTCAGTTTAGAGAATAAAACAAGCTGTAAGCAGAGGGACAGACATGTCTGGATCTTTGGGAAATACTAAGAAATCCAGTGTGGATAGAACACAGGATAAACATAATCATAGGGGATGACAGATACAATGGTAACAAATTTGGCTTTATTTTACAGGTACCAGAGAGTAATTTGAGATATCTGAGCTACAAAAGTTAAACAGTAGGTAGCTGATAAGAGTTAGATCTGTAGTTTAGATAAAAAGCTGACAGCAGAATCTAGATTAATGTAGATGGGGAATACTAAAAACAGGCAAGATTATTTAACAGATTCCTATAGTAGTCCAAATAAGAAATAAACTAGGCCAGGATCTGCATATATAACTTACAGGCTAACTGGGTTAGGCTGAGAACATCCTCAATCGATTATACAAAATTAAAGAAAATACCTTTTACTTAGATTTATTACGTTTAACAAAATACAGCCAGGTATATAAATTACTACTGAAAAATCTAACTTTAAACAAATACAAAATTAGTATGATGTATAGTGCTAAAAACTGAGTTGAAACATGTAATTGTGACTGAAGGTAACTGTCTTTTCATTTTACTACTTAAGTAACAGCAAAATGCAACATGAGAATACTTAAATTGTTCCTCTCCATGGTCACTTTATAAATATTCCTCTAATCTTTTTATAATTAGCTGACATGCTAACAAATAATATCATGTAATTTTATTCACTGGAAGAAACTGAAATATGCCAAAAATAATTGCTATATATTTACAAAATAACTGTATTATTTGCTATTCAGAGTTAACTAATGTTTATTGAGCACCTCCTATTTCCCAGGTTCAAAAAGATGTTTGCTACCCTATAGAATTTCCATCTTTTAAGATACATAATAGTACTTTTCATTTAACAGATGAGAAAATTAAGAATCAGATGGATAGGAACTTGCTTAACACAACAGGCAGTAACATTTTATTGACTGCCAATTTTGGGGGAACACATATCATCTATTTTTCACATTTGTATTGTTACCACAAAGTCTTTGCTTTTACAATTATTTTTCTTAAATTCATGCAGATATCAACAGTATTTATATCAATATAATCAAACCTTCTCTGAGAATAACTTTTGTGTTCCTCAAGGTCATCACCACTTATAATTTCTTGCTCATAAATTTTAGTAAAATACTTGTGAGAATTTGTAATATTTATTTTGGATTTATAAAATGACAGGCATATACTTTAAAGGCTATATCTATAAAGAAATAGATATAAACTATGATTTCTAAAATATATTTATATGTATTTAAAATGAATCTCATTAAAATTGTTGGTTTATAAATATTTTATAAATAAATATATTACGAAACTTAAATAGCTATGTATTATGATGGTCAGCTATATATAAAGTACTGAAATATATATTCTTTCAAGTTTAAAGTGCCAAAGAGTGGAATTCAAGTGAAATAAAATTATACCAGTATTTTGCTACATATTATAGGTACATAATTGTAAGCCAAAAGTTAAAGCAATATAGAATTAAATAAATATTGAGGATAATCTAAATACTATCCCACTTCTATTTTGTAATTATGTTATCTTATAGAAAATCTGTTCTACTATGCTGAATGTGATCAACATGTATGACAAACATGTATTAACAAAGAAGTTTTTAAAAAAGGAAAAAAAAAAGAAATTGTTCTAATTAAGGTTTCTTAATAGAAAGGACATAAAGCTGGGTGTGGTGGTGTATGTCTGTAATCTCAGCACTTGGGAAGCTGAGGCAGGAGCACTGTTGCTAAGAGCATGAAGTCAGCCTGGGCTACATAGTGAGTTCAAGGTCAGCCTTGACTACCTAGTAAGATCCTGCCTCAAAAAAACAAAAGGGGAAAGAAATCTTGTAAATGCTCTTACTTTACAGATTAAGGACTGAGATTCAATCAGATTAAGTAAATTGTTTAAGTCATATACCAGTGGTAGAAGCAAGGACTGATAATATTCTGGGCTGTTTCAACCATATCTTTGTTCTTTCATCTTACAAATCCTATTATTTATTCACTAATATAGTATTTTAACTTTAATTTGGGAAATTATCAAGTAATAAAACTATTTTTCATTTCAGTTCAACAACTTTCCAATTTTCCTGTTACTAATGTGCATTTTCAGAATATCATGATATTAGAGCATATTTATAGCTTCAATAAGGTGAGAACTTTATTTTTAGAGGGAAAAGTGCCCCCCCCCAAATCATAGCTTTAAAATCTTTTTATATCATAGTGACTTCATATGTTGTGAAATAGTTTTTTATAATTTTGACCCTTTCTTCAGACAGCCAGTTTTCCTGTTTTAGCTGGCTTATAAGTGCTTCCAAAGACTTCAACCTTCCTAGAGTTTTTTGTTCCTGTACCTCAAGGAGAGTTATCTTTGAATGTAGCTTAGAGACTTTTTGCCATAAATGTTCCTTATTTATGTCTTGTCTGCAGTAAGAATGATCAATTTGCAAAACTTCTGCCCCATGATCTACATCCTTGTATAAGGAGTCTTCAATATCTATCTCTTCCATTTCCATGGTTTCTTTTTGGGTTGGTACAAAAGAATTAACAACAGGTTTTGAATTTTCTGTGGGTACAAAAATGGCAATAAAAGACTCTTTGTTTGTGTTTAATTCTTCAACTGCTTGATTGATTGTGCTGAATAAGAATGGATTTTCCTGAGAATTAATTTCCATGGAATTATTTTTAAGGTTTGGCTTAACAAGATGATTGGCAGTTATTTCAAGCACTTCCTGGGTTTCCAAACACTGTTGAATACCTTCTGAATTTGAAGTTGTCAAAGTAATAGTTGTAGAATTTTGATTCTCTAAAGATGTGTGAACACCACCTCTACCTAAATTTTGGTTGACTGATGTTTTCAAGGTAGATTCTGGTCTTTTGGTATCATGTTTAATTAGATTAAGAGTTAATATGTTATTTTGCATACTTGCTGTTTTTGGAGCTGGTGGATTCACTATGGCATATGAATCAGGTAATTCTGCATGTTCAGTGAGCACATCTGTGTTAACTGAATTTTTTTTTGCCTCATCTGATATAAATGATTTTTCGGACTTGGGTTTTCGACATACTTTGTTCTCATCTTCCAATTTCTTCTTCTGAGATTTTTTTCTGGAAAGGTCCTTTCCCTAGAAAATAATATTTTCAAATTCTAAAAAAGACACACTTATCAGCTTATTCTCTTTTTAGTATGGACTGTTCAATTATAATTCTGAGCAGTGTATTGGCCAAGCAAATTTAGTTAAAAAAGTGTTCTAAGCATGTAACAACTTAAATATATCTTAATGTTCTAAAAAAACACGCAGCTCATCAATATGACAAAACTTCAGATCATTCAAATGACCAGTTAAAAAAATCTTAACTCTTTATAACTCAATAATGAATAAAGTGCTATCTTCTGATTCTTTTTGTTTTTTTTTTTGTTTTTTGGTACCAGGGATCGAACTTGGGTCCTTGCGCTTGCAAGGCAAGCGATGGAACCACTGAGCTAAATCCCCGGCCCTCTTCTGATTCTCTTAAACTATGTTTCACAACATTTGAAATTTTATAAAAATTACCACTTTAAATAAAAACACACAATGGTGTTCCTTATTCTAAAATGTTTTCCCAAGTTACCTTGCCCTCTCACTCTCTCTACCTCATCACCTGGCACCTTGTAATCTGCCCTTTCAATGTACCACCCTGTTTAACCTAACCCTCCTCCCCCAACTCCAATACCTGACAGTCTTCAGGCAAAGAAAATATTGTTGGAATTGCAGTTTGTTTTAAATAACGAATACCCCATCTGATGTCAAGAGAATCAGGAGTAAAATGGTCACTACACAGGAACTGGTATTTACTGGGAACCCAAGAATCCCGTTTCATATTCTTTAACCACTTTTCAAGTCTTTCTTTGTCATGTAGAGGAAATCTGAAATTAAAAAAAAAAAAGAAAATCTTTACTATGCTTTTTATAATTTTACCATATGCCAGACCTATATATATAGGTGTTCTATTTGTCAAGTATTGGAAAAGGAAAGCAGCTGTTCCGATCAAATAAGAGCATCTTCATGACAACTACCCCATCACCTCTGAAGAAGACTAAGATATGATACTTAGCCAATGCTTTTGTCTGAAACCAGCTTGTAAAATATAATTCAGCATCTTTCAAGTAAAATATATATTCCTGTGAAGTATAAAATCCATTCTTTTTTAGGGTTCATGTTCCACTTCTATTCTGTTGTACAACAAACAGGAAGGAGGAAGCAGAAGTAGAAAAGAGTTCGTATAAATTACAGATTCTCATTCAAATGTATTTCATACTAATTACACAAGTCAAATGGTTTACTGTTTAAATTTTAGGCAGCATTAAACTTTAGGCTATTTGTATTAATGTTTTTAATACAAGGAGACATTAATTCAAACAAATGGTTTAACTGAATAAAATGAATACTGTCAAAAAACTACTAAGATTACATTCTCTTTACTGGCATCAGTTTCAATTCTACCTACATGTAACTTAGTCTAGTATTTCTTGACTTCTGTAAACAACAGACTAGGAACTCTGAAGCAAGAAAAGAAATAAACATGTTAAAAAGAATTGACTCATGTTTTATAAGAAACAAATCAAATATAAAAGACAAAGGGAAGATAGCTCTCATTGTATTTTGTTCCTATGCTGGATTTAAAGATGGCTCTAGCATACTGCAATGTAGTATTGTAAATAAAGGTAAAATTGGAGTATAGGCATAATTCAGTAGAAAAATTTCTTACCATTGAAATACGTTTGAATTAAAGTGTACTAAACACTAATTGACAGTGATATTTCCTTTGACGATTTTCCAAAGAACACAGCTGAACATATATATTACATAATAATTTCCTATGTTTAGGAGGAGTACTGAGCCACATATAAAAACATTAAAATGAAGTGCACCTGTTTCTTTTTACTTTTTGTGGCTAGTAGAAAATTTAAAATTACTCACGTGGCTTGTGTTTTATTTCTGTTGTACAACACTATTTCCTATCAAGTCCCTCATACAAACTTTAGCTGTTATACATTCCCTCCCATTTCAAACTTTTAGTTTACACTTGTAGTAAGTAGTATGTTTTTTCTCCTAAATTTTGTTAAGTTTATAAGATTGTGGGGAAAAGAGTCTGGGTGTTTTATAAGAAATAATTTTTAACACTGATACCCTTATGTGGGAAAAATTAGATGACCCATCTTTGGATGTTCTCATCAAAAAAACAATATTTATGTTTTGAAAATATTTTAACCTTGCAAATAAATAACTTAGGTTTCAGTATGACAAGAATAACCAGCAAAGGCATTTAAAAACAAAAAGAATTAAGTTCAGTCTTTTCGTAGATCTAAAATGAGAATATGCCTTTAACAATAATGCTTTTTAATATAAATTCATGCATAAGAATACCACTTGCAATTTCTATTTTACCTATATGCTAAGTTATCATGCTATAAAAAATTGCATTCCATGAGTATCCTTATTGGTAAATACATTATATTATTTTCTCATCAGATAAATCTTTATTTTATTTTATTTTACTTTTTTCAGATAAATCTTTTAAGAAATCATTTGGGATATATTTCTTGAATAAGTTAGTAGCTTTATAGAGATTCAATCTGATAATTGGTAATGATGCAATTCCTCCAAAATGCCCAAGATAATCACAGTATAATGGGACACTATTTGCATATTATTTACATAATTACTAAATTCATGTACATTTATGTACTAGTGCTTGCTACAATTTTAGCATGAAGAAATTCAGCTCAAGTTCTGTGCTATTAGAGGGAAAAAAAAAACCCTGTATTTTTATTTTGTGAGTTACATAGGTAATTAAAAATTCATAAAAATAAACACTTAAAATTTATATTTCAAGAAAAAACCTTTATGATTTATTTTTATAATTAATTTGCATTATTATGTTTTCCTCCTTAAATACGGAACTCTGAGGTCCACAAAGATTAATCAAAAATATTTTTACTCTGGGATTATGATCTGCCAATCTAAGGCCAAATATATGTGAGAATTAGTTCAACATCATCTTTTTTGCTACAAACCATCTCAGAACTACAACCATTAATGTAATAGCATATACCTACCTATTCCCTATTTCCTCTTCTCAGTATCTTGTGACAGGGATTCAAGGAGATATTGCCATGTAGTGTGAATTAGGGTTATAAGGTTTTTTTCTGTTATGTGGGATAATGGAAAGCAGCTGAATTATTAGTGAATGACAGCTTCAGGTCTAACGTAAAATTGAATTCGTAACACAAATGGATAAAATTTGAAGAAAGTTAAATACAACCAGTTTAGCTCTAAATGGAATTATTTTTAAAATCAAGAGACAAGGAAATGGCAGATTTTAAATCTGTTTATTTTCACAAGGTTTTTATATATGTAAGCACGTACCTCCTGCCAGTACTGCTTTACCTCTTCACACAGTAAGCGTGAATTAAGTTCTACTAATATCTCCACTTTACATATGAGAGCTATGAGGCACTGAGAGCCTACGTATTTTGCAGAAGGTCATTCAGAAACAAAGTAATGGAACAGGATTTGAAGTGAGTAGGTGTAGGCTTGGAGCCCGGCCTCTTTAAGTCTTACACAACACTGCTTCCCTGTTCTGCATAATTCTCCTATAATTTCACGGAAATATTTCGTGGTCCTAGTTATTCTGAATAACACCCTGTTTTTGTACTAATGAAGGGCATGCACACCTCTAAACAGAACGCAGGTGACAATTCCAGCTGTGACACAAAACTTTCAAGGTTTGTCGCTTATCCGATATGCCTGGCTTCGATTTGCTCAGGAGAAAAATGGGATTAAAGTATTCCTATGCGACCTAACTCAGAGCACGGAACTTCGGGTGCACCTTCCTAATTGGCAGGTTTGATAGAGGTTTACGCTCAATACTGGCTACTGTCATTCAATGACATGAGGTCAAGTGAGATGAGGCAAAGGCTCTGAAAATCACCGAGCACCGCGCAAAATATTAAGTCCTATATTAAAACCCACACAGGCCCTCATTGCTCGCCAGTAGCCCAGCGTCTGAAGAGCGATACTGAACCCAAGCGGTCGCATCCTCCCGCGCCGTGAACAGACACCTGGGAGCACAGGACTGATTTCCAGACCTGACAGGAGACACTCGGCCTGCGGGGGAAACCGACGCTTCTGCCCAGAGAACAACTTACGGGTAAAAGCTCAGCTTCCGGCCTTTATTGTTTCGTCCTCGGCGGTTTTTACAGCAAATCGCGGCGCAATAGCGGGGCATCACTCGGGTAAAGTCCCGGGATTCCCGGGCTAAAGGGGGTCGTCTCGCTGAGGCGGGGCCGCGAGTCCCTGCCCCTGAAGCCACCGCGCCTGCGCCGGGATCCCACCGAGGACAGTCGCCGGAACCAGCCACTGACTAACTTCCGCCTCCGCTGGCGTCAGCACCGCCCCTTTGGTGGTGGGGCCAGAAGTGACGCAGGAGCAGAGCGGCGACAACAGTTTTCCACGTGCGCGTAGGGCGCCAAGGTCAGGTGGGAGGCGGGAGCCAATGAGAAAGCGTTTCGTGTAGATCGCCTCCTGAGGCGGTGGCTCCAGCAGCCAGACACCCGCCTGTGGGGTGCGGGCTGTGGAGGGACGAGGTCACCTCGGCGGTGGCGGGAGCGCTAGGTCGTCGTGGAAGCCGCAGCAGGACGCGCGACAGCCCGCAGAGGCTGGGAGGCCGGGGTGAGGAGCCAGGCCCTGGCAAACGAAGGGAGCCGGCCATCAGCCGCGCCGGGGCCGGTGGCGGGGAGTGGGGTTCGGGGCGTCCCTGGGCCGGGCTGTGTCTGTGGGCCGACTGGGCGTCGGTGCCCGTCGCGGTCGCCGCAAAGGCTTCCGGCCGCAGGCGCTTGACGCCGGGCCCAGAGGTGGCGGAGCCGCGGGATAGTGCGTTTGGGCTTGGGACCAGGCCTCGGTGCTGTGCGGCTTCTCCAGGTCTGGGCTCGGGCTGGCTCGGGGCGGCTCGGGCGTCGGCCTGGACCCACGGCCGGGCGCTTTCTGGCGCGGGTCTCACGGGGCCGCGCGGCCCCCGGGAAAGGGGCCCAGGCCGCCGCCCCGCAGGTCCCTGGTGCAGGTGGGAAGCCAGCTTCTTTGGGAAGTTAGCCTGCTAAAAACGGTCCTTCACCCCGGAACCGGGGGAGTAGCGTTTATTGCGCCAGGAGGGCGCCTGTCAGTTGTAGACCTGCCCTTTGCTAGGAAGCAACCTGCAGGGCTGCGGCTTCGCTTCCCTGGACGCGCTCCGCCTGTGTGTGTGACCCTTAGACCAGCAGGTTGCACTTGACCCTTGGTACCCGCAGCTCAGAGTAACTCTGGGAAAGGAAAAACAGTGATCCACCTGCTAATTACTCTCCGAAAATCCCACAGGAGGGGAAGGCAGTTTCCCCAAATCCTAGTGCCTTTTCGTCAGCCTGTGTCATCATAAGTTACTGACTCCTGTGGTTGCAGTATTCAAAAACAACAGGATCGCCTCGTTCGAATTGCAGTTCATTAAGCAGGTATTGGCAAGACTAAGTGGAATTCTAAGTTAAAACTTAGTGACTTAAAGGTAAATATTTTAAGTACGGTACTGAGAAGTTTGAAAATAAGAATCGAACGTCTCTAAAGTACAAAGTATTTATTTTTCTGTCCGTCTTGATAGAAATCAAAAATTTTTTTGAGTCAGGGTCTCACTATGTGGGAGAGGCTGATTTTGAACCTCGTAGCCCATGTTGACCTTGAACTCTGATCCTCCTGCCCCAGTCTCCCAAGTGCTGGGATTACAGACGTGCCACCACACCCAGCTTAAATTCTATTAATTGTGAATTTTAAGCCGAACTTATTTATTCATACTTCTTTGTTAAACATTTCAGGTCTTACATTTATGCAGTTTTTATAACTCCCAAATTGTGTTAACTTTCTTAAGAGCAAGCAGGATTTAGCCAAATTAAGAAATGTCTTTCATGGCTTTGCTACTAATTACTTTGGACAAATACACAGAAGACACAAAATTTTCAGTAACTGGTTTTCGACAGATATTGAAGACTCCATCATAAGCACAGTTGAAAAAAAAAGAATCCAAATGATATTTTGAGTGTAATATTCTTTTCTTTTGTTTTTTAAATATTTCTTTCAAGAATTCATATTCTGTACCTGAGCATGGCAGTGCACATCTGTAATACCGGCACTCAGGAGTCTGAGGCAGGAGAATTGTGGGGAGTTCAAGGCCAGCCTGGACTACAAAGTGAGACTCTTTTGTCTCTAAAACCAAAAAAAAA